AAAGAAAGCTTTACTCCAAACTATGTTTTCAAGGAGAATTCAGTGTAATTTTGCCTTTGTTCCTGTGAACACATCCACCAGCTTAATTTTGGAATTTATCAGCATGGCTTGTGCTCACAGTGAGGTGGTTATGTACATTTTGGGCACAGAAATTATCATGCTAAAGAAAGACGGAAAATCACACATACTGTGTTATGTTGGAACAAGCTTTTTTTTTTAAAAAACAAAACAAAAAGAGCTTGCTAAAAATAAAGAAAGTTGATGCTAAACTTGCAACAAATTCTTTGAGGGTAGAGAAATTATCAGTCTGAACTAACCCTGTCAACATTCAGTCCAATCCAGGCAATTTGATGAGATTTTTAACATTTTTTATCCATCATCAGATTTTTAATGAATTACTTTTGAGCAAAAGCAGCTGATTGCTTCCTTTCACTGTTTTATTTTTTTAAGTTTGCCATGAACGCTTGGGAGGCATGACCCCCAAATCTCTGAGGCCTTACTTATCCACCATGATTGCTGAACACTGAAAACAGTTTCCTGTCATTTTCCTACACCATCCATACTAAAAAATGGATTTAGGGAGGGAATGTTCATAAAAGTTTGTTATGAACCTTCCCTCCCTAAATCCGTTGTCACCAAATATGTAATGTGGCCTTGTCCATTTAAAGAGGTTGTCAGGTCTGCCCTCCCCTCTCACCAATATTAAATACAGACCTTATTTGAACTGATCTAACCAGAGGTTAAGCAAGCCCCGTGAAAGTACTAGCTTTCCATTAATTTTGCATGCCTTCTTCAGGTAAACAAATTCCTTATTTTTGTTTTAAGAAGCAGAATGGGGAAATGGGGAAGGGGGAAGTGAATGACCCAGCAACCCCCAGAAATCCTGGTTGCAAGAAACATGCATTTATTTCAAGAGCACCCCAACTAGTCCCTAATCAAATGTCTCTCTCTCTCTCCTTTTTAGTCTAAGGCAGTGGTTCTCAACCTTTTTAATGCCGCGACCCCAACCGGTCGTAAGTCAAGGACTAAACCGGTCATAAGTCGAGGACTAAACCGGTCATAAGTCGAGGACTAAACCGGTCATAAGTCGAGGACTACCCAACCAGTCGTAAGTCAAGGACTTTCCCTGCCCGGGAGCGCCGCGCATGCGTGGTTCTGCCCCCTGCGCCGGCCGAGGCATAGCTGGCAAGTGGCAGAGACGGAGCAGGCCGACCACCAGCTGGCCCAGCCCAAGGGAGGTAAGGCACCCGCCGGAAAAGGAAAAAAAAATGGCGGACAAAAAAAATGGACAAAAAAAATGGCGGACAGCCTTGCTTGGCGACCCCCATGAAATGGTCGATCGACCCCAAATGGGGTCCCGACCCACAGGTTGAGAACCACTGGTCTAAGGTACTTTTTGACAACTGAAGATTATGAGCTGAGTGTTGGCAGCACTGAGGACCTAGTTGTTAACAAAGGCAGTCTCTTTTCTCCAAAGCTATGTGCTCAAACCCACAAAGACCCAGGCACGCTCAGCTTTTCCCATATCATAGGCCAACAACACCTATTCTGAGAAAATAGTAAGGTCAGCCAGGTTTCATTTAAGTGCTAGCTGTTCTTGACTTATCAGTGATTGTTCTTTACTAATATTTATCTAAAAAGCTAAGTGGCTGTGAGGGCAACCCTTGATGCAAATGTTACAGAACTAGGTCAGCACATCCAATGCCCTAGGATTGATGCCTCAAATTTATTTTTCATGGCCTTCAAAGCCTCCTCTGACAATTGCTAAACATTGGTGATGAATGTTTGTCATTTTGAGATAGGAAGGATGGGAGTAGGATTAATGTAGTATAAAAGCAAAGAACAAAAACCCAGAAAAAACATTTTTTCTCAACTCTTTGCTCAGTCCCGCCCCATCCCACCAAGACTACCTAAATATGGTGTAAGGGAAATTCCCATTTCATCTGTGAAGGTTAAGTGCTCAAAATGAGACTTGTTTGTATACACTAAGACTTCACATTAGGTGAGGGGCTCATTTTAGCAGGTAGGAATTAAAGAGGTTTGTGGAGCAATTACAACTCATGTTATGGAAGACTCCGTTTTATAACCTGTTAACTTTATAATTCACCCTCCCTGTTTAAATTAGAAGTTCTTAACCTTTTTGTGTCATGGACCCCTTTCCAGTTGAAGTTTGGTTATAGGTTAGTGAAACTAAAGTGATTTTTTTCCCCATTCACAAAATCATCTGAAATCTACTTGTGGACCCCAAGTTAAATAACTGGAGCTCAAGTGTGTTTATTCATAAAGATGGCACAAACTGATTTTCAGACACACTGGAGATTCATTCTTCGTGTCTGCTATTCACTTGGTCTCTTTTAACGTATGTGATAGTTACACCATTAAATCTACACTTAAATATATTTAGATAAGACCCTTTGCTTGAATTCAACTCCGTGGAAATGCTTCTCATCCAGGGCAGATTTTACGGGGTGGGGACGGCAAGTAGTGGAAGACTGCTGTTCAACACAGCTAATCAAAACAGAACAAGCCCCACCAAATATATTGATTTCAATTAACTTTCCTGCAGTGGCCTAATTGATGGTTCTTTTTATAAACAGCTGTTGTGAACGCTTCTGGCAGACAATTGGCAGAAACTAACAGGAAAAAGCATGCACAGATGACTATGCTTAAAAATAAAAGGCCTGCTTTCAGTATGAAGATTTACAGACTCCCACCATATGCAGAAATGGTTGAAAGGGATGAATGTCCCTGAATTATTCAGGAGAAAAGCAGCATTTTATCTACAGTATACGGCCATCTAGTGGCCCAAGGGATAGTACTTCTGAATGGCTACCATCTATTTTGTATCTTTTTAAATTATAGTGAAACTTTTTATTTTGATGTCCAGAAAAGTTAAAATGTACTGTGAATTTTTTCTGTTCTCTTGGGGAAAAAAGGCTTGGTTCTTAGAAGCATGCTGTTCCTTTCACATTGAACACAGAATTTGTGATACTCCTATCTTTTAAGGCAGAAAAGGACACTTCACCAATGTAAAGGATCCTGTTTCCAGCTTCTGACAGCAAGTCACGAGCAATCTTGCTGCCTCAATAATCACCGTCTCCTTTCTCCCCAATTGCACCAGAACAAAAGTCATTCTCAGCTCAAAGTCATTGAGTATCCAAAGACCTCAACAATTTTTTAATTAGGTTTTCTGAAGAACTGTAATTTAAAACAGGCACACAAGTGTCACAACAATATAGGAATGTTTGCTTAAATCAGTGGTTTTCAACCTTTTCAATGCCGTGACCCCAACCGGTCATAAGTCGAGGACTAAACTGGTCATAAGTCGAGGACTAAACCGGTCGTAAGTTGAGGACTACCCAACCGGTCGTAAGTCGAGGACTTTCCCTTCCCAGGAGCGCCGCGCATGCGTGGTTCCGCCCCCTGCGCCGGCCGAGGCGTAGCTGGCAAGCGGCAGAGACAGAGCAGGCCGACCACCAGCTGGCCCAGCCCAAGGAATGTAAGGCACCCGCCGGAAAAGGGGGGGAAAAATGGCGGACAAAAAAAAAAAATGGCGGACAAAAAAAATGGCAGACAGCCTTGCTTGGCGACCCCCATGAAATGGTCGATCGACCCCAAATGGGGTCCCGACCCACAGGTTGAGAACCACTGGCTTAAATAAAACATCTCCCCCCCAAATTGATTGTATCTCTTTGGTGGTGCCATAGTAGAGCTTTACGAAAATATTCTCAGAGGGAGGGAAATTAATTCCTTTTCACCTTGTACAGAATTGTGCAAGTTCTATTACTTCTCTGAAAATTAAACTGTTCTAAAGGGAACAGCTCCCACCCCCATTTAACTTGCTGGGGAAACTAAACGTATTCCTACTGCATTCTCCCTGGATATGAAACAGGAAATGAAAAGCTCCCTGGTTTTATATAGCTCAAGAGTGCGATTTCTTTGTATATTTATTAGCTACTCTTCAGCTGAAGTTCCCCAAGTGGTTTTGGTGGCGATACAAGGTGAGGAGAAAAGGAGAGAAATCAAATCTCAGGCTGCTGGAGAAAAGGATGACATAAACAGATGCAAAGCAACTGAAGTGCAATTGAACTGGCTTTTCTGCCTGTTGACAATCTGACGAAGTGGACCACAATACAAAAAAAAATTATATTTTAGATCAGTGGTTCTCAACCTTTTTAATGCCGCGACCCCAACCGGTCGTAAGTCGAGGACTAAACCGGTTGTAGGTCGAGGACTAAACCGGTCGTAAGTCGAGGACTAAACCGGTCGTAAGTCGAGGACTAAACCGGTCATAAGTCGAGGACTACCCAACCGGTCGTTAAGTTGAGGACTTTCCCTGCCCGGGAGCGCCGCGCATGTGTGGTTCCGCCCCCTGCGCCGGCCGAGGCGTAGCTGGCAAGTGGCAGAGACAGAGCAGGCCGACCACCAGCTGGCCCAGCCCAAGGGAGGTAAGGCACCCGCCGGAAAAGGGGGAAAAATGGCGGACAAAAAAAATGACGGACAGCCTTGCTTGGCGACCCCCGTGAAATGGTCGATCGACCCCAAATGGGGTCCCGACCCACAGGTTGAGAACCACTGTTTTAGATTAAGGTGCCACAAATTCTTAGTCTCTCTGTATTTTTTGGATAATACACATAGTTCTCTCCTGACATAATTTCTGGGCTATTTGCCACTTCTGTGCATAATGTAAGCAAACTTACTTTGTATTTTCTAGTAAGAACACAGTTGACTCATTCAAAAAAAAAAAAAAAAAAAAAAAAGACCCAGGCTTTAAGAGGAGGTGATTGTACAATGGTTTTCTTTACTTCAAAAATGCCACCGGTCACTTCATCTTCCTCCGAGGAGTGCACTGCTTTATGCACAGCTTGTTGTTGTTTTTTTAATCCAGGAAGCTTACTATGTCACAGTAACTGAGCATCAGCAATAGAAAAAACATTGTGTACCTTTGCAATGTTCTCTGAGCAGACTCTTAGGAAGAAAAAACCCACACAAACAGCATAAACTTTTCAAAAGCAGTATTTATTTAAAGGGAAACTAGCCATTTACAACATAAAAGGGCATAAACCAATAAAAAAGCATAGTGGTTTCCCAACACTGTGGTTATTCTACCTAGCTGGCATTGTGGCAAACCTCTATTGTGCTATAAATTAACAGGCAACTCAAATGGTAATATGTTGAAGAAGGCCAACAGCCCAGTTACGTGTCCTGTTTGTTTCATTAATTCTAATGAGTAAGATAAGCTCAAGGACAAAACTTGTGGGAAGACTGTAATAGCAATCTATCCACATAGGCTGCTCCACATAATCTGCGTGTGCACAGAACAGGCTCTGGCACCTATGTATCACCTCCACCATCCTCATAACACATGGACCCACAAACCTGGCAGGAGATGTTATTTGGCAAGGGAATTGCTGCTGTCTTGCAGTTGATCATAATTAACCTCTAGCTAGGACTAGTGACCCCAACGCTTTCCCCTTCAACTATCACAGGACACACACATCTCGTTCTTGGAGGACTGACAGGTTGTTGAGAAGATACATATGATAAATGGTGGAGAATGGGGATCATACCACTTCAGGGTAAATTCCCTTAAAAAAGAAAATATAAAAATGCCTTCTCTGCCTGTATAATCAGGGAGAAAGGTACTTGTCTACCTCTCTGAGTGCTTGTCTAGATATGCAAGAGGGGAGTTCTCACCTTTTTACTTGGCAACATTCAAACAGGTTCAAAGCTTTCTGCAACCCAAGTAGGTTGGCACATTTCCCACATCTGCAAGACACATGATTTTTATTCTAATGGGGAACTGATCCTGAGAGGCCACAAGTTATCCCAAATTTTCCAGAATCCCAACTGCATGATTGTATGCTGGACAATTACAAGATGTGGATCCAAATTAGATAAAGATGCTTCACATCTGGCTTACGTATCCTTGTTATATAGCTTAAACTAGTTAGTTCTTCCTTCCATAAGAGCTGCACGGGTTCGGGAAAAATATGTGTATTTTCCTAATCTTGTTCAGCTACAGGACAAGATCAGGAAAGTCCAAAGCCCGCTTTGGATACAAATAACATGCATTTGTATGGAAAACAAATGTAACTATACAGGATGTGCCTTTAAGTGAGGATGAGTAAGTCTTTCATATATTTGCCCTCATTTGTCCACCGCTATAATGTATTCACTTAATACTGATCAGACTAGCCTTGCCAGCCTGGTGATTTCCATAAATATTGAGACCACTGAGTTAGCTGATCAAGAGTTGAAGTCCAACACATTTAGAAAACACCAGGCTAGGAAAGAACATCTTGGACAAGGGAGCTTAAGCAAATTCTTCTTAACATCCCAAGCCCCATCTCTTCCTTATTTCTGTGCCTGCTCTTTACCTCTGAAACAGTATTCATAAAATATCAAGGCTATCTGCTGACATTACTCACTTGTCTGAAGAGAGCGGTCAAGCCAGTTTCAACAGCAAGCTCTTGACTTTGAAGGTAGGGATTTGGCAAATTGGCTTTCGGGGCCTCTTAGCACCTGGGCACCCTAATTCTGTTGTCCTGCCACAACTAACTTTGACTTCATGGCTGGGAATACGGCTGCTCATAGATGGGACTGTCCTTGTCCCTCAGGTTTCTGGATTCTATAATCACTTAGGAAAATGGGAGGAGATCAACTGAACAGGCTAACTCACCACTGATTTTCCCAGGTCTGGACGATGAAGTCATCTTTCTGGCGTTGCCATTATCCCAAATGAAAGGGAAGCTGTTTCCACCACAGCATCGCATCCCCAAGGGGATCCTTCTGGCTGTCCCTTTTGATACTTCTGAAATGTCAGGACATTTCACAGCATAAGCAAGACATTATCATTATTGTTGCCATTAAAGAAAGAAACCTGATCCAAGATCTTAATCCAACTGTAGGCAGAAAGTAAATTTTAAATAAAAATGTGATGATGTTCAAATAGCAAGAGATTTAGTTCTATTTATTTTCCAGAATGCTTAGGAAAGTTAATTGGATACACTCGTAGTTTTGTTATGTGGAAATGTGGAAAACTGCAAAGTTGCAAAGTATTTTTAATATTTTTGTTTCAAAAACTAGAACCCAACCTTCCAATGAATTCTCAGTAGGAAATCAGGATTAATGACATTATATCACAATATTACAACAAAATGTTATATTTGGTGAGTTTATTTTACTACATCAGAAAATGATAATATTTTTCTGGAAAGGTTCATGGTTTTTAGAAAGTCCACCATTTGTTACAAGAATTAAGTGCTATCTAACTTCAAACCAAATTTATACTCCACTCAAGCTTTAAATGCATTACTTGGAAAATATAAATAGGTAATGCAGGAACAGAAGCCAAATGCACCATATAAAGCATCTGACTTTCTTAAATAACATTTTCTACCTTTAACAAATATACTTGTGTTGAATTTGCTTTATGACAAATCTGTAGAATTCTCCATGTACTGACCTCTTTTTGATTACATAGCACCAGATTTAGAAGGCGTTAACCAAGAAATTGCAACAATGAGTTCTATTGATCAAATATATCTCATTAGAAAGTACATGATGCTGTGCATATTCTCTCTTTAGAAGCCAGTTGTTTGGAAAAAGTGCCACTTTTTCTAAACAATGGCTTCTGTTAACTTAATTTTGGTTGGTCATGAAGACTGAACCTGGCTCTTATCAATTTTATCTAAGATGAAAGAAGTTCCACCAAGGGTGAACGGAGGTGGTTTTCCCCAGCTGCATGAGACACACCTTTGATGGAGGGACGGTTCCTACCCCCTTTTCCACCTTCCAACAATGATGAGCACCAGCTTGGGAAAAGGTGTCGTAAAACCTAGCTTGCATGGCAATGCTCTAGGGCAGGGGTGGGAAGCTTTATGACCTGTGGACTTCAACTCCCAGAATTCCTGAGTCAGCAAAAAGATCCAAAAGATCTAGAATGTACCAAAGTTATCCATTCTCTTGACTGAATGGGGCGCCAACTTGCAACAGGACAACTCCTCACGGAATAACTCAGCCATTGTGCCGAAAGACAATCCACGTGGAATAACTCAATGCAATAATTATCCACCACTGTTTCTTTGACATTTTCATTGACAAAAATGGAAATAACGTAGAAAAAAAACAGTGGCAGATAATGTTTATCACATATGGATTGTCCTGTGGCAAGATGGCCCCATCGAGTTGCCCTAGACCCCCTCTCTTGACAGAGTATTTGCAATTCTGCCTCTGTCACAAAGACTTATGCATTTTAAAATGTGAGTTACTCTGCACGCTTTTATTTTTCTTTAAGTAGGCAGATAATAGGATAAAGTCATTGCTGCCATTTAATGAGATGCCACATTTGTGTCTGAAACAAGCATAGAGCTCATCAGCCAGAATTTTAAAACTTTCCTTCACAGTGGTGAAGTTTCATTAAATATAAATTTAACGCATTACTTGATACATTACAGATTTGATATATACCTTCACCAAAAGAAAACACAAAAGCAAAAAAAAAAACCCCACATACCGTAATTTCTCTTCTTACGTGCAAGTGCTGCTCTACTTGTCCAAGTCTGAAAGGCATTTACTGGGCTTTTTTCACGGCATGCAAATTTGATAGAAGTTAACTCTTTTATTAAAAATAAACTTTTATTATAAAAGTAACCATTACAATAGGGAGCACAATTTTATGTGCCAAGATTCATGCTTGCTTTTTTCTTGAGTGGTATATTGGGACTACGCTCCAAAAAACCCAAAGTAATTCATTGCAAATATTTATATGAATATCATTTGTTTAATAATTCTTTCCCCCTTCCTTACACATTAAAAAAACCTAAAAGTTAATTAAAACAAAAGAAGCTTTATAATGTAAAAATTTATAATACAAAGGAAGCTCATCAAATTGGATAGTCAGTTTGGTGTGGCAGTTAAGCCATAAGGTTAAAAACCAGGATATTGCGAGTTCTAGTCCTGCCTTGAGCATGAAGCCAATTAGATGACTTGAGCCAGTCACTTCATCAGCCCTAGGAAGGAGGCAATGGCAAACCACTTTTGAAAAAGCTTGCAAAGAACACTGCAGGGACTTACCAGGCAGTCTTCAAGACTCAGACACAAGTGAATAGAAAAAAATCTTTTTATATTTAAGCAAACATTTCAAACCTATTCACCCTAAAATATTAGATGTATTATTCAATTACTGTAATTGGAGAGAAAAGAAATGCATACAACTCATCTCATCTTGCTAACCTGGATGTTTCCTTTCTTATCAGGAAGAAAAAAATAACGTTAGACAAGAAACACCACCAGGTCTTTCTCTGGAAGCCTTGACCATTGTTTATTCTTTAGATCGTCAACAAAAGATTTGACTTGAATGAGCTAAATGGAGGAGGAAGCCTTACTCTCATGCAGGATAAGAATGTATGGTATCAGCCAGCTTTTAATTAAACTCTGTTTGATTTTGAGAACTATTATTTTCAATCTTCCTTTCCAGATATAAATATGGTGGTAATGGGATTACTCTTCACCAGTAGCATCTGTGCATTAGAAGTCAATTCAGAAGTTGGTGTAGTGGTCAGAAATATGGTAGCTAAGTCTGTGTTCTTCCAAAACTACTTGATATCCTTTACAAAGATGTGTCGTAACCAACACAGCAAGATTCAAAAAGATCATTCTGTGCAATTACTTGAGAATATGAAGGAACCTGGAAAAGAGTTTCATCTGTCATGTTCTTCATATATAAAATTCCATTTTTTAAAAAAAAAACCCAAATGGGTTTATACCAGATTCTGCCTTTACCTCTCAGCATCCCAACCACTACAGCCAATGGTAAGCAATGGTGAGAGATGTAGTTCACTAGTAGGCTCTCCTTGCATTGCTTTTTCTACTTATTTAAGAACTCTACTTCTTTCCCATGGAAGCAACTTCTAACACAAAATCTACCACTCTTCTACTGTCTATTTATAATATGCAGCACAGATGCTTGAGCCTTAATTATAATTCAAGAACAGCCAGCTGGATCTGATGAACAATCCATTTACTTCAGCTTTCCATTTCCAACAAAAGCCACCCCACTATTAATTTTGAATAAGCAACTAAGAGATTATGTTGTTAATTACACTTTCCAGCTGCCTGATATTCTTAAGAAAAAGATGCTGCTCCATAAATGTGTTCTCTGTAAATCTATGGGAAGGCATTCTACATATCCAGTTATTTCCCTAACCCCTCCTAATAATTCAAAACATGGGGTTTTCCTTTTTCATAGCCAAAACACAACAGAGCTGGAGTTTTCAAGAAGGTATCTGCTACAATATCATAGACTGAAGCTACCAGGATTCAATATGGAGCTAAGTTATATGCCTTTTCATTGCTCTTGCAATGGTTTTATCAGAGGAGAGGCTTCTGAGTTTTTAATGCATTGCTTAAGGTGGAAAATATATGCTGCTTTGTTTTTGTTCTTTGTTATTTTTAAATGTTTGCTCCTACTAATTCTTACTTTCTCATTTTTCTTGCCTGCTTTTTCTTCATGCTAGATTGTGTGCTGTTACCTGTAATGTTCTGTATGTTTGTAAAAAATGCATATACTTTACACATTGAAAACAAAACATTTATAGAGATAATTATAACCCACCTCGTGGGGTTATTATGGTGGGGAAAACAGGAAGAGGAAAGAGCATTAGGTATGTTTGCTACCTTGAGTTATTGATAAAAAATAAAGACAAGATAAAAATAAATGAATATTCTCTGTCATACTGTAGCTGTCTGGGAGCAATTTTTTTTAAAAAAACTATCTGAGACAAAGGGAAGCATGAACTGTTTTTTGTGATGACATAGAATCCACTTTTACATGTTTGCCTTATATACTTTTCACTTTCACTGATACATGAATAGGGATATAAAGTACTGGATGGTAGAGTGCGTGCACATGTATCAATATTCGGGGGGGGGGGGGGGGGGGTTACACTATGACAATTTCTAGGATATCCTAGAATGTTGTTTAATGAAAGCAGAGAGCCATAGAAGACTGAAACTGCAACTTCATTATCTCCTAATTATTCTGTCGATGACCAGCAGTTCATTTCTGACCGGCTCAAGGTTGATTCAGCCTTCCATCCTTCCAAGATCGGTAAAATGAGGACCAGATTGTTGGGGGCAATAGGCTGACTCCATAAACTGCTTAGAAAGGGCTATAAAACACCGAAGTGGTATTTAAGTCTAAGTGCTATTGCTAATATAGGCAATCCTCGATTTACAAGAGTTCATTTAATTATAACGGCACAGAAAAAAGTGACTTATGACTGTTTTTCACACTTATGACCACTGCAGCACTCCCCTGGTCATGTGATCAAAATTTAGACTCTTGGCAACTGGCTCATATTTATAATGGTTGCAGTGTCCCGAGATTATTTGATCACCTTTTGCAACCTTTTGACAAGCAAAATCAATGGGAAGCCATATTCACTTAATTGTATTGCTAACTTAACAACTACAGTGATTCACTTAACAACTGTGGCAAGGAAGGTCATAAAATGGGGCAAAACTCACTTCACAAATGTCTCACTTAACAGGAGAAATGTTGGACTCAATTGCGATCGTATGTTGAGGACTACCTATATGTTGACATGCTTTGCCTGTGTTTTCCATTTCTGGTCTTGTTTTATTCTTGGTTTTTAGGGTGCATTTCAAATAACCAAGTGCTGAACACTGTATTTTATTTATAAAGTATGACTGTTCCAGAAATATAGTTTTATTCTATATAGATACATTACTCATAAATGTTAATCATATCTGATTTGCCCAGATTTGAAAATCAGCAACATTAATTGCCCTAACTGAAAAGGGTTTTGATTTTTCTCACAGAAAACTGTCCTTTGAGAATTTCAACCTGCTTATGTAAATTGCTGAAAGCAGTGAAATTATTGACATTCAGCTGGAAAATGCCAATCCTAATCAACTCATGGGGATTATAACTAGAAAAGATGCAATGTGAGAATGTATTCTAGAGAAAATGACAGGATTTTACTTACTTATTTACTTTTCCTTAAACAAAATATAACCCCACTGAATATAACATATGAAACAAATTCTAATGAGTCTGACCTTGTGGTCTACCAAGTTTAGCATTATTTATTTAATGTCCAGTGATAGTATTCTAGTATTTCAGGAACAGACCGTTTCCCAGTCGAACTAAAATCCTTTACATACACATACCAAGGACAGAAACTGAGACATAATCCCACTGAGCAAGTCCTATTGAATTTGAACAACAGAAATCAATTTAATATAGATTTTGGAGAAAAAATAATTTCATTTGTTCTAGAAATGTTTTAGCAGTTTTTTTGGTAGCAGAATAAAGCACGAGTTCCTTATAGTGTTGGGAGGGATCGGCGTCTCCTTCCCCATTTATCAAATCTCTCCTAGTTGCATAACATAATTTTATAATAACTTTTTTTTACCTTTTAATATGAGATGCTCCATTGATTTGCTGATCTTTTCCTCTCAGAGAGACAGCAACTGGATACCAGCTAGGGTGAGTTCTTCAAGAGCTGAATTGACACTATAAATAAATCTCAATGGGTAGATCTAAGTATAACTAAAAAGTGGCTTGTACGTGACCATGTAAAATAGAATCTTAATGTATGTTTAATAAGGCAGTTAAACATTTGATATTGAGAATTTGCTGACAGATTAATACACAAATGACTAATCACCAACAGAAATCAGTCTGCTGATAAAAAGAAGATGTAATTTGTCTCTGGATACTAGAAATGCAAAAGTAAACACTTCCAAGCAAACATATCTTGTAAAATTAACAATGTTTGTATCTCACAATGAATAGCGCAATTAACCACATCTTGGTATCACTATTAATACTATGATGTGTCACTTTTGTAGAGATGCAATCTTTTCTTGTTCTCCTAATATTGCTGGACTACAGAAGCTTGATTAAATATTAAGACTAAACATGCTTTACTTGGGCTTCCGTGAACTATCCAAGTTGACCCATTGTAACAAAGCATTAAAAAAAAAAAAACCATCAGGTTCCAAAAATGCAATCCAGAAACTCCAGTAGATATGAACCTAGTATGTTTTGG